GAGACAGCCCTATTTCTCATTTAAATAACTTAGACAGTGCCAAAAAAATGTAAACCAAAGGAAAATTGACTTTTATTTACTTCGGCACAAATAGGGTTATCTAATTTCAGCCTTCCTTTTCACAAAGCAAAATGATTAAACACTATCACAAAACAAATACATAATTTTCCAAATAGCACGACATTCAATTTCAAATGAATTCAAACTTTCTTTTCAGCAACCAGGTGCAACAATCAAATACAATTACAAAGCATATACACAAGCATTCAAAAGGGCACATAATTCAATTTCAATTTTCCGTGCAGCAACAAACACAGTGATTAAATATATTTACAAAACATATGCAGCAGCATTTAAAGGAGTAGATTAAATTCAATTCTTTTAATCACAACCGCTACAAATATGGAACTTTCGCGGAAAACCCAAAAGCATTTTTAATTTTAATTTAAAGAATTTTTAACTAAGTGCTCGACCAAACCAAATCTAATACCCCTTGACAGCGTGATTCAACGCTAGAGGGGGGCCCTAATCTTCCCACCACCAAGTGGAGGCCACACGGCGTGAACCCGAGACCAATAGAGCGCGAACCGCTAACAGTTGCCACTCGGGTTGTACGCCTTCACTGAGGCCGTCGGCAACAGAACATTTTGACAAGTGAACTGTTGACGGCTTAAGGCTCAGTGGAGGCGGCCGTGGTGGGAGCTAAGGCGACAGCTAGCCAGGGCCGCCTCCATCAAATGGGAAACAGTGGTACACCAGTCGCGGCCACTCAGCTAACGGGAGTGAGAAGGGTCCAGCGGACCGATGAGTGGCCGTGAAGTTCCTCTCCACACGCTTTCCATTTTATCTATCGAAAATGACAAGAAAGTAATTTTGAGAATATATTAGAATATTTTGGCAAATTAAAGTCCCGTTAGCATGTATAGCATTTTTGTTTTATTTTGTGGGGTGCTTGATAGAAATCCGCCCCGGGTTATGCCGCCACTAGTTACCGTAAGGTTTGATACTGTAGCGAGGCAATAATGTAATCAAAATATTAAACGGAGTTTAATTATAACAATATTCAGCACTTTCTATATTGAAAAAAAATACGCATTTCGTTTTTCGTGATGCTGTATACACTAATAATATCCTCAAACTATTGTATCATGGGCACTCTATTAGAAAGAAATGCAACGCATAACTTGATGCCTTTCATTCATTTCAAGGTCACTGGATTTAGGAACGTTTTCCTAGTATGAAGTGCACACTCCCTATGTTTTACAACCTCCTTGAAATCAATGATGGGTTTTTGCCATAGACTTAGAATATACGGGCGTCTACAGTATATTCTAAGTCTATGGTTTTATCGATAGCTTGACCGGCGGCGGATTGCTGTTCCTGTATTATTATTTAAATAATGGTTTGAAGTGGATTTTGATGTATAAAAGGGGTGCGATTTTGTGTATTAACTATCTGTGCATGTGAATTATTAGTGGAAATGGTGAAACAAGTGCTCTAATGGTGATGAGAACCTCAAGATAAGGCTCAATTTACATTGCCGCGGAACGGAATGGAAGCGAATTTTTGTAATGAAGTTGTACATAGTAAATTGAATTTTATGTTAATTTTGTCACGTGCAAACTAGATATGAGCCAAAAAAAGAAGTCACGAGTATTTCGTAAAATTTGCGCGCATTCTCGAGAATTCCGCAGATACTGTCGGCGCAGTCTGTAGAATCTGCGGGAAGTGGCGCGAAAGGGGTGACGTTTTCATTTCTTCCATAAATAATGAATATTTCTTTTCTTTTTTCTGATATTCTTCCTTTTCCCATCATTTTCTTCTTCTGCCTTACAAATAAGCAATATCAAAATAATATCCAATCAATCATTCTAATGAATTAAAAGATCTAGACTAAATAGCTGAATGGTGAATGACTCAGTCACGAGAATGCTCGAGCATTCCTGCGAATTCACGCGCCTTTCCACGCGATGAGGCGAAATTCCGTTCCGTTCCAATTCATTTCGCCTCAATGTAATTTGAGCCTAAGGTGTTTGTCTGCTTAGGCGCCTTGAGATACTATCGCCAACTGTCTGCTGGCTCAAGTTGTCATCAAAATCTCCCAAAAACTACGCAATGTGACACGTCAACGTATTGTGAAGCAGTGTACCATAAAGAATTATTATCACATAATACTAAAAATCTATTAAAATGATGATCCCGAATGAAATGAAGACATGGCTTAAAGAATAAGCATCAGAGCTAAAAATCTTAATAAAAAATTACATTATACCTAAAACTGTGGTTATGTTCCGATATACACTACCATAACTGCGCGGTGCTCTCTCTGGAAAAAAATTAGTTCCGTTGTGGACTGCCAGTATACTGCTGCAGTACCCTAGAGAAATATATGACGTCATAAATCGCCACCATTTTTATACTGTGAGCACTGGCTTTTTCGAGGTAAGATGCTCTCAGTACTTTGATCACGTGATCAAAAAACATAACAGCGCCTAGAGATTTATTCATATTCATATTATTTATTGCATCCATAATGTTACAATTAAAGTGTTGAGAACATTTTAAGTTTTAACTTAAAACTATGAGATCATTATTTGCCCTGTAGTGCATGGCAATTAAGAGAGAGGAGGCCCATTATAATGAAACAATAATGATAAATACACTTTGAAATAAAAATACAATTGAAATACTAGGTAGGTATTTAAAATTTATCATTTAAGTATTCGTTTAGTCTGTAATAGTGTTTACTAATTAAAAAATCCTTAATTTTATTTATAAAAATAGTTTCTTTTTCTATATTTTTTATCGAGTGTGACGAAGGGACCTGATGAATGTAGTTTAAGGCGAGATATGGGTAGAGTCAATTTTTCTTTATGGCGTAATTGGTATCTGGTATTGCTTTCTCCTCGTTTGATATAAAATTCTGGTTATTTTTCAATGAATTTACAGATTTCCAAAATGTTTATGCACGGTAAGGTGAGTATTTTATGTGTGACTTAATGAAATATTTTTCGAATTTGTTTTTTTGTAGGGTTAAACGATCAGAAACATCTGTGCTATTTCCCCAGATGATAACCCCGTAGCAGAGCCACGAGTACGCGTAAGCATAATAGGTACTGAGGGCGGTTTGTATATCGGTAGATTTTTTCACTTCTCGGAGAGCGTATATAAAACTTGCTAATTTCCGTTTAATTTTCATTATGTGGGGTTTCCAGTTAATATTTGTGACTATTGTTAAGCCAAGAAGGGTGAATTCGTTTACTTTTTCTATTTTTATGTTATCGTAGGTAAAGTTTATATTTAGTGGAACTTTTTGGTAAGGGTGAATACTTATTATTTTCGTTTTGGAGAAATTTATTTCAAGGTTATGTTCTGCCATCCAGATTTTTGTATTTTCTAGTATTAAATGTAATTTACTATGGATGTTTATACTGCTGTCACATGAGGTAAGCAGGGAGATATCATCGGCAAACAGCACACAGGGTTCTTCTATAATTTTGGGGAGGTCGTTTATGTACATTAGAAATAACAGGCAGCCCATAACACTCCCTTGGGGTATTGATGCGTTACATTTTTTCCGTCTTTAACAGCTTTGACGAATGATTGTTATTATTATTAATTAATATTGCTATTCAAATAAACATGAAAATTGAGTTATAAAAGCAACATCATTCAAATAATATTTTTTCTTGTTGAACAGAAAACGTGTACATGATAAATATTTTCATTTTAAAACAGTGTTGAAAAATTTGAAAAATGACAGCATACTGGACTGCGTTCCGTTTTAAATAGTAACCAGTATAGCAAACTAAATTTACTAAAAGGAAACGGCTTCACAGTATACCGAATTGACGTCACACCATGCAGTGGTCACATTGTATATCGGAACACATCCTGTTTCGTACATGACAAATGACAATTGATTGTTGTTGTTTTTATTATTCGCTCGAGAGAGAGCAGGCAAAGGAACTATGCCATACAGCCTTGTCTTTATGTATAATTATCCTTCATAGTTCACTGCTTCACAATATGTTGATGCGTCACATTGTGCAGCCCTTGGGAGATTTTGACGGCAACTTGAGCCAGCAGGCAACTGACAGTTGGCGATGGTATCTAAAGGCGCCTATGCAAACAAACAGCTTATCTTGAGAATCCATCACCATCAGAGCACTTGTATCACCGTTTCCACTAATAGTTCACATGTGTAGACAGTTAATACATAAAATCGCACCACTTTTATATATCAAAATCTACTTCAAACTATTATTTAAACTATAATACAGGAGCAGCAAACCGCCGCCGATCAAGTTCCCGCCAAAACTCCAAATGACAAGAGTTTTGGCGGGAACTTGATCAGCGGCGGTTTGCTGCTCGTGTATTATTGTTTAAATAATGGTTTGAAGTGGAATTTGATATGTAAAAGTGGTGCGATTTTGTGTATTAATTGTCTACGCATGTGAACTATTAGTGGAAACAGTGAAACAAGTGCTCTGATGGTGATGGATTCTCAAGATAAGCTGTTTGTTTGCATAGGCGCCTTTAGATACCATCGCCAACTGTCAGCTGTCTACTGGATCAAGTTGCCGTCAAAATCTCCCAAGAACTGCACAATGTGACGCATCAACATATTGTGAAGCAGTTAACTATGAAGGATAATTACAAAAGACAAGGCTGTATGGCATAGTTCCTTTGCCTGCTCTCTCGAGCGAATAATAAAAACAACAACAACAATCCAAATGACAATTGACAATTGACATTGACATTTTTGACATTGTCGTTGTTTATTTGTCTTTGTCATACGACAAAATTTTGTTCTATTCCAGTATTTTCCGTATTAGATTAATTATCTCTTAAAATATTGATGGAAATATTAAAACAATCGTAACTTGTGGCAAAGTCTGTTTTTTAGTTTCTTCACATTAATATCTGTAATCTGTTTTTGTATTGGAGATCGATTTTTACTGGGATGTGATTTTCGCGTTTATTAATTTGTAAGAAAAATGAAACTCAATATTGGCACCTGTATTTTAGTCTATTTAATAGGAGGATGTTTAGCGTCGGGAGAGGATATAGCTCTTGACGCGAAAGCTACTCTTTTACATCGTATAGACAGTTTAAATCTTCTCATCTATACCAGTCTTCTAACATTGACAGTGCTTACAATTTGGGTTTTCAAGCACCGCCGTGTGAGCTGGCTCAACGAAACTGGCCTTGCTGTTATTTATGGTAAGATACTTATTTACCATTACAATTATATTTTATGAAAACTCCCAGTTCATTATAAATATTTTTTCTTGTTTTTATCTCCTACATTTTTCTATCTAAATTTCTTATTTTTAGGTCTGATAGTCGGTGCAATTATTCGATATGGTGCCAGCACAAATCAAGTTACATATATTGATGCATTTCCTGCTGCAGATACTACTTATAATTTGTCCGTACCTCCAGACATGTTACGTTTCCATTTTCCTAATAAAATGCACATATCTCCTGAAGGTTTGTTTGACCTTTAGTAATGTTGATTAGTGAAAAATTAATAAATGGTTTGATTATTAACTTTGAATATATTTTTCAACATATTTTTATGGAAATAAAAAATTAATTAAAAAAAATTATTGCATTATAATATTCAGTGCTTTGTTATAATCAAAATTTAAAAGTATGTTATATAGTGGGCTAAAAGAATATGAATACAACTAATTCAATAATTTAACATACACACACAATTAGTACAAAGGTGTTAAATGTAAGTTTTAATCGTTTAATAATACTTTCCAATGTAATTTGACACAAATAGGTACTGAATTAGAAGGAACTAACTCCTAAAATAGGTTATCTCAGTTTGGGAATCAGGGTTTATTGATGTCAATAGAAATGTCAAAAAAAGATATATATCTATCATAATTATTATCATATTGCAGGTATAACAGTGCCAAATAAAACATATGCTTATAGCTTCAGAGGTGAAATAGTAAATATGGAGCAAAATGAAATAGATTTAAAAGCCACATTTGACCCTGAGATATTTTTCAATATCATTTTGCCGCCTATTATATTTCATGCTGGATACTGTTTAAAAAGGGTAAGTTTAAATCTAAATTTAATATTAAGTTAGAACTAGTATGACGGCTCCATGGCATAGTGGCTTAGCAATAAATTGCTGCGCTAAGAGCCATGGATTCGATCCCGCACAGAACAAGTATTTGTATGGCCTACAAATAATTGTTCCGGGTCGGGATATTTGTCCTTGTGAAATTTATGTATGTAAACTGCCCCCATGATACAGGAGAAAATCCTAGTGTGGAGATAACGTTTTTTAAGAAAAAAAGAAAAAATGTACATTTATTAAAAAATAAATATGACGTGATAAAACTTTGATGGCTATGAAGTGAAAAGTGAAATATTTTAATTTCATAGTTTTTATATGTAATGCCCATATTATATAGTCGCTTACTTGGCTTCCTCGTTTTATACTTCCTGTACACTTTTTATTACCAAGCAATGCATAAAAAGGAAGACAAAGGAAATAAAAAATTATGGCAGTAATATTTAGGATTGGTATGCAATCTACAGAATCTATAGAGCTACACTTTATAGGCAATTTAATATTTGAATTTACTACTTAAATAATTGAGTTTTACTGCTTAGAGCCCTTCTTACTGTTCTTTTATGTTCCTACTCACTACCCCACCAAGATTGCTTGTTGGGTCTCTCCAAAGAATAGCTTAGCAGTCATATAACATTCCTACATAGTATTTAATAAGGTAATTATCTAGTCTATTCCTAACTTGTTGTAGTAGTAGCTATTGCATCCATGTTATCCATACCCGGAAGTTTTAACACAATATTTTTGAAGAATTTTTCTTCACTGTATTGCAAGGGTTACGCCTAGGTGGTGTTAGAGGGAAACTGACCTGTAATATGAACTGAGCACGAAGGTTCGTTGGAGACATGCCGGTCATCACAAGTATAGTAGCTTTCTCATTAGCCAGTGTGAGGTTAATAATAGTTTAACTGCATTTAGTTCCAACTGTAGTTTTGTAATCTAAGTTTTATTTTTATTAAACGGAAGTGACAAACAAACTAACAGTCCAACTGATGGCACCTGCAGCCAACTTCAAACAAAGAAGGCTACAGGTGCATTCTCACGAAAGTCTTAACTCTCCAAGTGGTCCACAAATCTGGTAAGGCCGCGTTGACGGTATCTCCGCTTAAGGCGTGTACACAGAGGCGACGATAATCTTTGATTCCTATATATTAAGTACCCTTACAGTGTACAAGTCTCTAAAATAGTAATCTGTTAATGGTTGTGGGCACATATTGTTTGTTGTAAAAAATTTCACACCCTCGGATTAACATGATCTATTTAATAATACATGGTACCTCTCAAGTTGAAGAGACCAGCATCAAGAGCCATGAGTATCGGCCACCACGAAACCTCCCATTTCCGCTGTTGTGCTGTTGCAGTTTAGCTGTGGGGGAGGTTGACTTGAAAGAGATAACTTATAACTTCAATAATTATCCGAAGTACTCAACACACTTGCAAATAATTTCCTTATGCCAATTTATGTGAAATTAATCTTCAAAAACAGAATTTTATATTAATTAAGCCTTCACTCTAATTCTGTTATAAATTTAAAATCTAAATAATCGCCAGGGGCTTACAGACAGACATGAACGAATTTTATAATTAATATTTTATTCTTTTATTTTTGGTACAGAACATTAATCAATACTTCATAGATAATGCTTAAAATGTATACTTAATATCTTTATTCATACACATCTTCCATTTAAATCAGTAAAGTAACTAATTATAAACATCCCACTGTTGGCCTCATTCCTGAGAAGTTTTAGGACAGGGAAATGTCTGCCTTATGTCTGTTATTTATAATTTCTTAGACTGCCAAGCAGTAATGTATCAACACTTAAAATTACAATGAAAAAAATCTCAGCCGTGAAAGCAGGATTTGAATTTGGTTAGCTCACATACAATGAAGGTTTAAGGCGAGTGCTTCTCCCCTGAGCCACCACAACTCTTCCATTCGATTTATCTCAGTTAATGTTATGTAACAGTTTTAAAAACTTGTATACATTACTTATCTTGAGGATTATGGACATTTCAACTTGGATCATAATTGAGAACAAGAAACATTTTTATCTTAATGCATATCACATTTGAAGGTTAATATTATATTATTGTATACCTATGTAATATACAGGGTGAAATTGAGATCATTGGCATAGTTTTAAAGTACAATATCATTGTAAGAATAATTATATACCTACTCATGATACGAACTATGTTGGGACTTTATTAACGCAAATCTAAAGCAAAAATATTATATTACGTAATTACGTCATTTTTTTCAATTGACCATAAACACTAAATAAATAACTAAAGCAAATTAAATAATAAACACCAAAAAAATCGTGAACTCTCAAAATGTTGCAAACACTGTTTATCGGTCAGGGACAAGTGGTCAAGGCAAAGGCAGACTCAAGGTCGCATGTATTCACAAAACAGGCATAATTTTTATGACTTTAAATCGTTACGACCTTTTCTTCATTTATTGATTTATTGTGCATGGCTTTTTCAATTACTGTAATATAATGAGAATATAAAAAAATCATAAGAAAAATCATAGTGCAGTCTGTAAATCATTTATATCATCTGGGTATTGAACGTCAATTGATCGACAATCTGACGGCTTTGTTGGCTGGTCTACCCATAGCTGTCATGTGTATTAAAAACTGTTGATTTTTGGATCCCTTAGCATCATAATTGTGCTTGAATCCTATCTTCAACCTTAACTTTTTATTTGGTACTTGTAGATTATATAAAGTTTATAATATCTCTGAGGCAGTTGATAATTGCCGAAAATATGTGTTTACCAACATTTATAAGACAAATCACTATAAATATTGTCTTAATTAAATTATACTTAACACATACATTATCAGAAATGGACTGTGGTAGAAATGGAGCCGAGGTATCACAAGGGCTAAACGCTCGTAAATTTAACAGTACGCGAGCAACCCGGATTCGATCCCCGCCGGCACCAAAGAAATTGTTTATTGCAATTTTAAGTGCTGATTTACCACGTGCTCTAGAAAAAGAAAAAAAATATTTCGAAAACATGCGAAGTTTGCCATCACGAATTGGGGCACCGCAGCGGACATTTCCTTGCCTTAAAAACCCTCTCAGAAATAAGAGAAGGCCTGTGCCCAGCTGTGGGACGTATAGGTACTATAGGCTGTAACTTTAACATATTCATTTTCAGAAATACTTTTTTCGAAACTTGGGTGCAATTTTGACATTCGCTATGGTGGGCACGGCGTTGTCTGCTCTAGTCATCGGCTCGCTAATGTACGGATGCGTGCAACTTATGCCGGCATCGCTTGCAGCGAGCTTTACGTTCCTAGACACGCTATATTTTGGTGCATTAATCTCTCCCACCGATCCACTAACTGTTCTCGCTATATTTTCACAGCTTAAGGTACGATAATAGTTTTTAAATTTTATCAGTTTTTAACAATTTTTTACAATATTTGTAATCCTTAATTTAATATAATGAAATACTTTTTCAGGTGGATGTTAACTTGTATGCAATGATCTTTGGGGAGAGTGTTCTTAATGATGCTGTGGCTCTAGTTCTAAGTGGGTAAGCAGATTTAGTTCTAATGATATAAATATTTTCAATTACCATTTGAAAATCACATACATAGTAAATATTTATCTTCGTGTGATATTTCGTTTATTTTTTAACTTGTTGAACTATTTTCCTTATTCCAACATCGAACGAAAAATATCCTAATTACCACGTTTAAAATATGCCGTAATTTCAACGAAATGTTATGCAAGAAACCTGTTATGTGTGTCATTTGGGTTTTCTACGCTGATAACAATAGCAATGTGTTTATCGTATACTTGACACCAAATTACGTATTTGTTAATTACAGAGCTATACAGAATTATGAGAAGAGATATTCAAATGATGGAGGTTTTGAAATAACCGCGTTCCTTGGAGCTATCGGAGATTTTATAGGGATCTTCAGTCTTTCTCTACTCGTTGGTGCATTTATGGGATGCTTGACAGCACTAATATCCTTTTTTATATATTTACCAGAAACGTGTTTATAAGGGGGCAACTGTTTTGGGTACTGCAAATCAATCCTTGAATCATATTTCAGACGAATACCAAACTTTTCGTTATGATGACTTATAGTTTTAACCGCAGAGAGAGTAAGCCGTGGAAACTTAAAGGATAAACACACAGCCTCAAAATTTCGTAATACCGCTGACAGACCTGAACTTGACTTATTAATTGCTGATAGGCCTTTGACTAGCAGTTTGCCGTATGTAATCTGTAACTTTATCTTTACTAAGGTTTAGGTATGGGAAAAAATTTATATTCTTGGTATTAAAACACTTCAAATTGTATTTATAATAAAAATTTAAAAATAAATGCAACTTTGCAGCGGGCATCGTACTCCTGGTAGGGTAGGAACTGTGAAATTTATGGCGACCGCTTAGGCTCTAAAAACTGAGTACAGACAAATTATTGACACAATATTGTCATAATTACTGCCCGTAAATGTAAACTATTTATTTATCAAAATTTTATATTTACACGATGTTGTTTTCCTTGACCAATGCCACACATGACTAAGTTCACCCACGTGCGTGATTGGTCTTTGCTCGAGTCGGCGCTCTTCGTGCTCATGTCTTACGCCGCCTTCCTGATCGCGGAAGTATGTGAACTTACCGGTGAGTTATTTCTAAATTCAGTCTTATTACTTTGTTTTAAGTGCGCTATTGCATCAGAGTTTTACTTCATTGACTACAATTATGAATTTTAAGGTTAAATTTTGTTTAACAGACAGATGACAATTTTCGGTAAGTAAACAATATTCTGTAGTACTTTGAGACCCGTCCCGGCTTAGCATAGGACTAAGTATCTCGTGCGGTTGATATGGACACCTTTGCTCGCAACGACGTGTGCCCTCGTGTGTTTGCCCGAACGAGTCCTTATCTCGCTGTAATTAACATCATTAACGCTCGGCTACCACCAGCAATAAACATCGAGTACCCGAACTCATGGAAGACGCGCAGGTTAATTTTTACCGTATGAAAAATTCTTGCAAAAACTAAACTTCTAGTTCAAAAGGCTTTGGCTTGAAGGCTATTCCAATTTAGATAATATGCGTAAAACGATAATTACAGTTTATTTGATTAACTATACATAATACGCTTAATTGTTGTTAACTTGTTTTTTATATCGTATATATCGTACAAGAGTACCATAATATATGTATAATCTAAAAGTTTATTATGAATTTAAATTTAATTTTCAATAGAACTAAACAACATTGTAATTTCTTGATAACAACATTTATCATTGTGGAAGTACTGTCAAGTTCTACTCCGTTCTACTACTTACGAAAGAGAAGCTCGCGGATTGCCCAGAGTGTGCTAGATGTATCATATATCAATACATCAATCACTGAGGCCCTATCCGTGGCATCATCATTATCATTACAGGTAGTTACAAGTCCACTGCTAAACGTAGGTCTCCCGTCTAAACCTGTGAATTCTACAGAGCACAATCCTAAGCCACCTATGTGTTTCATAAGGTCGTATACTCTATAGGAGGGTCGCCCAACACTGAGCTTGCCAGTACTTACCTGCCACTCGAGAACATTTCTTTTTCCTCCATCGTTTTATAGGTGGATTTAATTCTATCCTGCGATTTTATACGTGGTGAAGCCATACTACAGCTATATAGTTGTAGTACGAATAGATAGGCTCAACCGGGGAAGGACCCCACGCTCATACAAAATAGCAGCTTAATGCTGCTATATTTTGTGAAACCTTTTTACTCAAAACGAGGCATTCCATCTAAGCCTTCAGGGGTGACAACTGACAACGCACCTGCATTTTGATTCTTAACCGAGGGTGGATGTACATGTCTATGAGTTTTCACATCTACTTACCATCACGTGGATTGTGTGCTCGTTTGTCAGCCTTATCCTATAAGAAAATGTACCTCATTGAATTAATTTGCCAATACCTCCAAATTTTTAGGTGATATCGAAAGTGGTTTCAGTAAATTAATTAATTAATTATTATTAAAATACAATAATCTGTTTCAGGTGTGGTCGCCGTGCTTTTCTGCGGTATTTGTCAGGCGCATTATACTTATAACAACCTGTCGTCCGACTCTCGCAATCGCACCAAGCAACTGTTCGAATTGCTCAACTTTCTTGCCGAGAACTTCATTTTTACTTATATCGGGGTTTCTATGTTCACCTTCCCAAAGCATCACTTTGATCCGTGGTTCATCATCGCTGGATTCGTATCCTTTTTAACAGTTACAGTAGCTAATCTAAAGCTTAACTACAAAGTTCGATGATGATGGCTTCTCGTCATTTTCTACGTGGTAGAGCCATGCTGAAGATATATTATGGTTGTAGCACGAATGGCTCGGCTGGACCGGGGAAGGACCACGCTCTCACACAATACCAGCAAAAAAGGGCACGTGTATCAATAATAATATATTACGAATGGAACTTCATTTCAACCGAGTGTTCAACGACACTCACGCATTTTTTTTATTGATTAAAAGTAGTGTGGGATCGATGATAGTAGAAGTGGTCCCGAGTGCACTAAGTGAAACACTATGGACAGGTCTGTGTCGAGCGGACTAAGTCGTGCGCTTTGGAAGAAACTTATGTTTAGATGTAGACTACTGCTGGCTGATGTTTGAATCGTACTTATTTGATATTCTTGCTAAGCGTTAATTGCCACGACTGTAAATCCCCGTAAATTGATAAAAGTTTTAAATAATTTTGTGTTTTTGTCATAAAAATACATGCTTCTATTAGCTGGGTACCTGTGTCTATGTATGAATGTAATAGACTTTTTTAATTCAGTTTTGTCCAACTTTCGGACGTCTGAATAATCTTAAATTTTGCAGACATATTAAGAAGTGATGTTAATAAAATAATGTCGTGACTAAGATCTAGTATTCTTATTAGATGATCCTATAGCTCATGATCAATACATGTTGTTTTAGTTTTGTTAATCTCTGGTTCCGCTCTCTCACTCTCACTATGGCCAATTAAAGTTAGTGTTTTGTTTAATCAATACGCTGTCATTTGAGAAATTTTAATTCGAAATAAACGATTTCTTTATTATCAAGAGTCAAAAGAACACATCGCATTAGATGATACTTAGCTCGCTGAGACCAATAAGCACCTGTTTTCATCCTTAAGCAAGGATCAAGACATTGAAATATTGAACACCTAAGGACTAAGATGAATTGCTTCGTTATCAGTTTTTTTTTTTTTTTATAGGATAGGGGGCAAACGAGCATGCGGCTCACCTGATGGTAAGTGACTACCGCCGCCCATGAACAACCGCAACACCAGGGGAATTGCAGATGCGTTGCCGGCCTTTTAAAAAGGAGTAGGCTCTTTTCTTGAAGGTCCCTAAGTCGTATCGGTCCGGAAAAATCGCTGGTGGTAAACTATTCCACAAGGAAGTTGTGCGAGGAAGAAAACATCTTCTAAATCGCACAGTGGTGGACCGCCAATCATCCAGATGGTGTGGATGGTATCGGGAGTTCTGCCGCGATGTGCGTTCGTGAAATTTGGCGGCTGGGATTAATCCGAACAATTCCTCAGAGCACTCCCCATGGTGTGCCAATGAGTCGAGCCGATCGGAAAGGACTCGGTCGTCGACGATTCGAGCCGCTCTGCGCTGGATGCGGTCAAGTGGAAGAAGCTGGCACTGGGGAGCCCCAGCCCAGAGATAGGAACAGTATTCCATGTGAGGCCGAACCTGCGCCTTGTAAAGTTGCCTTGTTATTACAACAACTAACTGTTATCAAGTCTAGAACCGAGTTCCGAAAACCTCGGGTCGGACAGCATCTAGATAACTCACAAGCACCATTACAGGTGATCTAACGATTGGTAACGAAAGAAATCATCATCATAGATTAGTATAAGTATATATTTTTATTTGCAATGAAGTAGGTAACAGAAAATCAGGTGTTTGTTAATTAATCTCTAATTACATTCTGACTGCTTAAAGCATGCAAAGTTATCTTACAGAGTAGTTAAAACACTTAATTATTTATTATTATTTTAATTTTTGTTGTTAAATGTTTGGAAAATATATATTTTTAAAGAATGATGTTTTACCTTTTATGAATTTGCTATTTTATTAAAAACTACGGGTTCCATGCGAATAACATATTTTTTCATCAAAGAAGTTTTATATAATCTTGTACACAACAAGATATTGTGATCTGATACTTGTACTTCATATTCAGTTTCATTCAATGGAGCAAATAGGAGTTAATTCGTTTTAAATATGGCTAATTCCAAAATATAAATAGGAGTAATATGTTATGATTAAATATCAAGTATGCTTTTATCTATTTTTTTGAATATTCCTTAAAGCGGTTTGTAACAGATTACATCAACTCTAGGTCGCGCTGTTAATATTTATCCGTTGTCGTTCCTGCTGAACCTGGGACGGAAACCACCGATACCAATGAACTTCCAACATATGTTGTTCTTTTCAGGTAAAACTATTCTCTTATTATATTGATTAATTTAAGGGACAGGGAAACTTTCATTCTAGACACGATTTATTGTCTATGATTGTACGTTATAAAGTGCAATCACAGACAATAAATCGTGACTAGCATTAAAGTTTTTAGCCGACAAGTACCTTTGACGGGTTCTTTATAATGTTTAAAACTACACATTCCAGAAACTTAGATTCAAAGTAATAATATTTTATTCAAAATTGGCCTTTGCAAAGAACTTTTTGAAAGTCAAAAACACAAAGCAATCGTTGCAACAACTCATTGCATGCTTTGTATGCTGACTTGTAAGAAGCAGCAAGATACTCACAAGTAGACATTCTTTCTCCAACAGTTACAATTTATTTTATAAAATATAAATCGCAAGTCATTAAAATCTAATAAGCTCATTATGTCCGAGCATTTTTTATCATTTAAATAATCATAATAATACATAATATAGTTATATACTTTGTTGTACACTGCACTACTGTTATTTGGCTCTCATTCATTTTTATTACTTTGATATTATGTTTATAAGAATTTA